AACATGGTTTCTATTTTCTATTTTTCGGAATGGTGGGACCTATTTTTTCAGTCAATTTTGTCTAATTTGTTATTTTCTAATTGATTAGAAAATGTAGTTGCACAATCAGTCAGTGTTTCTATTTTTCTAATTTTCCCAGCTAATTAGAAAAAGATGCTGGAAAATCAGTCATGGTTTCTAACTTTTCTATTCTTTAAGTTAACTAGAAAAAGCTGAACAATCTTTAATTGTACTATTTATTTGGATGGTTTCCGGAATGTTGGGACCTATTTTTCATATTTCTATTACTTTTTCTAATCAATTAAAAGCAGAACAAACTACAGATTGTTCAGCCACTTTTTAATTAAAGTCAAGCTTTTGTAATTTTTCCAATTGATTAGAAAAATTGAAAAATCAGAAAGCTGATTGATTTTCCAGCTAATTTTTGTAACTAGTTAGAAAAATAAAAACAGGAAAAAAAAGAACAGGTTCCAACATTCCGGAAGCCCAGCCGCCAAATAAACAGAACATATAATTTTCGCACGGTTTTCAGCTAATTGTTCTAATTAAATTAGGAAGATTGGAAAATCGAAAATATGATTGCTTTTCCAGCTAAGTGTTCTAATTAATTAGAAAAATAGGAAAATAGAGATTGATTGATTTTTCAGCTATTTTGCTTATTAATTAGGACAATTAGAAACATTGTTTCCCAGCTAGTTTTTTTACTTAATTAAAAAGAATAGAAAAATTAGAAAACAGAAAACATGACTGATTGCTCAGCTATTTTGTTCTTATCGGATAGAAAACTTGGAAAACTGAAAAGAACATCATGAACATGATTGTGAAAATGATGGTGAACATGATGAGGATGATGATCATGATGCTGATGATGACGATGAATATGATGATGAAGTGAAAATGATGATGATGAAAACGATGATGAAATGATGACGAAAATATGATGATGATGGGGGCGATGATGATGACGAGGATGATACAAGGGGCCATCCTGAACAGACTCCCGTAAGCTTTCCGTAGTTGTCATTTCCCTTTCATGTCCTTTCATTTCAGCTATTAGAAAATTTGCTGGACAACCAGTCACTTGTTCAACGTTTCTACTTTTCTACTAAATTGAAAGAATAGAAAAATAGAAAAACAGAGGTCCCAACATTCCGGACAACACGCCTTGGAAGACCTAACCTGGCTGTCTCAAAGGAGAATTAGATTAATTACTAGAACAGTTAGGCGTAGAAAGGAATTTGAAAAGAACAAGCCAGGAGGAACAGGAATGAAGCCCCAACAAGCTTTTGTTGCGCGCAAAGTGTTGCGACACATTTTGTATATGGCAGGGCTGACGCAGCACGACTTGAATGAAGCAGCCATGAACATGGGCAGCTTGGGTTGCGCAGAAGCACCCTTCCAGAAAAAGCAGGCGCGCCTTGCTTCGCTCAGGAATGCAGCCTACAAACATTGGCCAAGGCTAATTTCCCCAGCCGGCTCACCTATTGAGCTCTCAACGCCTGCCGCCTTGCAACAGCCAAGCTGCTGCAATTGGTTGGCCGCCTATGTGTACTGCCGATGCGAGTCGGCCGGCAGACGGACAGATCTAATTTGCAGCCGGCCTTGCCCATGACCTTTGTCGGTGGAGCCGCAGGGCGAAGGGGAGGAACGCCTGGCGCAAGCAGAGCCGACAAAAATGGAGCGTGTGCTACGAGCCTTACGGGCCTTCATGCAGAGCTCCAAAGGCTTGCAGGTACGTTTGACTTCGTTGTGAGCTCAGGCGCTTGTGCAGCCACAGCCATTCTAGCCAGGGCAGGCTGCTCAGGGAGTTTGCCAGGGATGGGCAGAAGAACGTAGGGGATCCAGCATGTTTCTGTTTGTCAGCATGTCAGCTCATGCCCCACGCAGCTCCTGTAGATTCGCAGTGGTCGCTTTGCAGGTGTCAATCAATGCAGGAGGCGTGGGCTTCTTCTTGGATTGTGTCAAAGGCGCGCGCGGTATTCACACCAGTTTGCGGTGAAATGTTTTGCCGCCCGCTTCGATTGTGTCACGTGCGACTCACGTGATGGGGTCTGCAGTCAGTCAATTCTCTGGGGCTCATCTTATTTCGTGAGGCTGGCTCGGGGCTTGTACAAGGGCATCTTGAAGGACTCATTGGAGGGCTCGGAAAGGCTTCGGCAGCATGGGAGATCGTGGCGTTGGGATAGTGTTTATCTTTCTGTCTTTGCCTGCCCCTCTCTGCCTCTTGCTGTCTGACCCTCTCTCGTCTCTATCTGCCCCTCTTCTCTATCTCTATCTTTCTGCGCACACATACACACACACACAATCTCTCTCTCTCTCTCACTTTCTGTCTCGCATTCGTTTTTTTCCGAAAGCATGGCGAAGGGTTCTTCCAGTTGTTCTTATGAGAGTCCTTGCAAGGTGTCATGGCAAGGAGTCATTGAGAGTCATTGCAAGGAGTCATCATCATGAAAGTGCAAGGAGTCATTCTCATGAGAGTCATCATCATGAGAGTCAACATAATCATGAGAGTCACCATCATGAGAGTCCTCATCATGAGAGTCATCATCATGAGAGTCATCATCATGAGAGTCATCATCATGAGAGTCATTGCAAGCGCAAGGAGTCAGTCATCATCATAAGAGTCATTGCAAGTGCACGTGGCAAGTGCAAGGAGTCATGAGAGTCATTGCAGGTGCAACTTGCAAGCGCAAGGAGTCACGAGAGTCATTGCAAGCGCAAGTTTCAAGCGCAAGGAGTCACGAGAGTCATTGCAAGTGCAAGTTGCAAGTGCACGTTGCAAGTGCAAGTTGCAAGCGCAAGTTGCAAGTGCAAGTTTCAAGTGCAAGGAGTCACGAGAGTCATTGCAAGTGCAAGTTGCAAGTGCAAGGAGTCATGAGAGCCATTGCAAGTGCAAGTTGCAAGTGCAAGTTGCAAGTGCAAGTTGCGAGTGCAAGTTGTAAGTGCAAGTTGCAAGTGCAAGTTGCAAGTGCGTGCTCACGAGATTGACTTGCGAGGAGTTAAATCTCTTCTTGGGGCGGGTAGTGCCGACGACACATTGCGAAAATCGACCCTCTCTGGAGATTGGCGTAGTCGAGGTGCAAAAACTCGAGTTGTTTTTGCGTTATCTGCGGTGCTCGCGCGACCCTCTGCGGGGATCGGCGCGGCCGAGGTGCAAAATCTCAAGGTGTTTTTTTGCATTTTCTGCGGTGCTCGCGCGGCCCTCTGAGGGGATCGGCGTGGTTGAGGTGCGAAAACTCGAGGTTTTTTTTGCGTTTTCTGCGGTGCTCGCGCGACCCTCTGCGGGGATCGGCGTGGTTGAGGTGCAAAACTCGAGGTTTTTTTTTGCGTTTTCTGCGGTGCTCGCGCGACCCTCTGCGGGGATCTGCGTGGTCGAGGTGCAAAACTCAAGGTTGTTTTTTGTGTTTTCTGCGGTGCTCGCGCGACCCTCTGCGGGGATCGGCGTGGTCGAGGTGCAAAAACTCGAGGTTTGTTTGCGTTTTCTGCGTGGTCGAGGTGCAAAAACTTGTTTAACGACTTTTGCTGTTCGAACTGGTCCTCGGGAGTTGTCTCGTGGTCCGCGGGCGGGCTACGCAAGCAAAAGCCGTCATTTTTAAGTACGAAAGTAGTACGCGAAGTCCACTCCCGCAGGAGCTTGAAATCGCAAGTTTTAGCGAAAGTAGTACGGGAAGTGCACTCCGACAGCTCCGGCTGGAAAATCGCAACTTGCCCAAAGAAACTTGCACAGGCACTCGCGGGCAGCGATGTGGAGACTTGCACAGAGCAACTTGCGCAGAGCACTTGTGCAATGACACTTGCGCAGAGAGACTTGCGCAGAGTAACTTGTGCAAAGCACTTGCTCAGGCAACTTGCGCAGAGTAGCTGGTGCAGAGCAATTGCGCAGAGCAACTTGTGCAACATCTTGCGAAGAGAATTTTGCAGACTTGCGCAGAGCAACTTGCGCAGAGCAACTTTGACAGAGCAACTTGCGCAGAGCAACTTGCGCAGAGCAACTTACACAGAACAGCTTGCACAGAGCAACTTGTACAGAGACATTTGCACAGCGTCAGTTGCCAAGTTGCACAGAGCTTCTTGCACAGAGCAACTTGCACAAAGCAACTTGCGCAGAGCAACTTGCACAGAGCAACTTGCACCGAGCAGCTTGCACAGAGCAACTTGCAGGGAGCAACTTGCGCGGGGCAACTTGCGCGGGGCAACTTGCACGGAGCAACTTGCGCAGCAACTTGCACAGAGCAACTTGCGCAGAGCAACTTGCACAGACCAGTTTGCGCAGAGAAGCTTGCCCAGAGCAACTTGCGCAGAGCAACTGTCATCATGAGAGGCATTGCAACGAGTCGTCGTGCGAGCTAGTTGCAAGGAGTTAGCATCATGCTTCAGGAGTTTGACGCAAGGAGTTCTCATCATGAAAGAAGTTGCGGGGAGCTTGCGTTGGGCCAACCTCGCTTGCGATGTTACGCTTTCGGGCCAACCGTGGTCAAGCTGTTTTTTTTTTTCTCTCTCTCTCTCTCTCTCTCTCTTTGTCTGTCACTCTGGCTCACGTGGATGAGGATGCACGGGGGGCAGCTCCAGCAGCATTGACAAGCAGCTAGAATGGCATGCGTACTTCCACATAGAAACTGCAAAAAGAAACATTGTGGTCCTTGCCTGGGGGTTGTTGGAGGCCTTTTCTTTTGGGGCCTTCCGCCATCATTTGCAGTTTGTATGGTTTGGAGCTTGCGCCAGGATCCGGATTGCATATACCTCGACTGCAGCACATCACGTGGCTTGCGGGACAAGCTGTGGAGGCGATCCACTGACTTTTGCGGAGCTTGTCTAGACAGAGCGGCAGGCTTGGATGAACTTGACAAGCCAGGAGAGTGTTGAAGCACAAGGGTGTCAGAAGTAACCCCTCATGACTGTCATAGTTGACGCAAGTCTAAGAGCCTTGAGCTTTTTTTCTCGCGGTCGTCGGGCTCAGCATCTTTCGTGCCAGATAGGTTCTCATCCTGCTAGGCAAGCAAATGAAGCAATTACTGCCCGTGCTGGTCAGCCTGACCTGCCATGTAGGCAGCTCGTACAAGTTCAAGGGCGACCCTACCAGCAACCAAGAGTGGACTGATGTGGAGATCGCCCCTGAAGGTCCCGACCCGTTGGCGGAGTATGGGCCTCACGCAGACTTGTCGATGGCCCTGTCCTTGGTCCTTACGAACCTCTCGAACTACTCCGGCTTGATCAACTCGAGGGACGTGCCCCACAACGCAAACCTCACTTATTACTTTGGCGCGGATCCTCATCAAGACCTCTTGGTGCTCTACGACAAGGTCCAGGGTTTCTATGAGGTCCTGCACGAGGTCTTGGGTGAGAACGCCTCGCGCTATTGCCCATACCGTTCGCAATACTACATGCCGGCGTGTATTGAGATTGCTGCGTGCCTTGTCCAGCGCGATGTCCCCAAGTACATGCCTTTAGAAGCATATGCGCCGATTTTGGAGCAGGTGACGCGCTTCGAAACAATCATCTGGGAGGCCATCAAGCACGGCCTCGGAAGTGAGGACCCAAGCGAGATCGGCGCAGACTTGGACATTCCACAAGAGTATATCTGCGATGAGAATGATCATTCTCACGATCATCCCGCCTCCTTGCTGCAGGGCGACGTGTCGCAGACCTCGGCTGTTTCATCGGCGATGCACCGTGCAACCCGCTCCACACACCAGATCCTGGCGGAGCACGCCGCAAATACCTCTCTGGATCACACGGTGCAACGGCTGGAGGAGGCTTGGCATCCTGTGTGCAATGCGCTGGGCTGCGACCACACCAACTTTCTTGATATCCACCTGGCATCACATCGCCACTCCATGGCGCTGATGCAAGCATCTTCGACATCCCAGCTGCACGCTCACATCAAGAGCCGTCAGAAGCTCCACCTCAACATGGTAAGGTTCACCAACACCCACGGTGCCGCTTTCGCTGACCGGTTCTACAGGACGAGAAAGCCTTCCGGCACTATGCGGAGATCACTCGCCGAGCCGTGATGAACCACTTGCTGCCCATGCCCCTCATCTTGAACAACGAGACCAAGGCCCTGCGCTGGGTGGATCGTGTGGAGTTCGGCAAGTTCTTTGCAGACTGGCAAGAGCGCCGTCCGGGCAACGCCTCCAGTCACGCTGGGCGCTCAGCGGCCTCATAAATGTCATAGGCTCATAGACATGCGGGATGTAGAGGTTAAATCGGGATTTTCGTCTGCATGTTTTTTCTGAGGCGCTGCTGGCGTTGCAGGAGGAGATCTTGGCCGACGGATCAACCGAGGTCAGGAGCGTGAGGACGAGGAAGGTCGCCTGGAGCACCCCGACCATGGGCAGCTGGCCTTGTTGGAGGGCGAGGAGGTTTCCGAAGAGCTAATCTTTGGACGGCGGCGACGGCGTCGCCGCAGGAGAAGGAGCCGCAGGAGGAGACGAAGTCGCCGAAGGTGGTGGTCGGAGATCGTCGACTCCGCGGTGAGTGCCGTCTCGTCCGTGGTGCAGGCCCGTCAAGAACGCTTTTCACTCAACATGTCGCAACGTGTTTTTGAAAGTTTGGTCTAGATAGGGGCAAAACCATTGCATCTCATCCCTTTAAAGGACCCCCCTTATTCCTTTTGAATTTCAAGATATCCTGGGTACATATCCCAAGGGCGCCCAAACCATGCAGCCGTGTGTACTCAGCATGTGCATGTGGAAGGCGGTGGCCGACTTCATGGAGGCCGTCTTCGAGTGCTTTGGCGCAACAAGCCGTTACTCTGCAATTGGCTACTCGAAATCCTTTGGGACTAACGCCGGCGGAGGATTCGGGCTGGCTGCAGGGGTCGGAGCTGACTTGAGGAAGTTGATTCAGGAGGGGAAGCTTCCCAGTGCCGCCGTCTGCATTGGCTTTGGGATCACGGTTGGGCCTGGATCGGGCGGAGCCCGTGCCGGCGTGGGCGTCGGGGGCAGCTTCTGCTGCGGAACCAGCGGCTGCAGCATCGGCATCTCAGTCGGGGCTGTGGCACAGGTTTCTGTGAGCGGCATCGGTCCCGAATGCGTCTTCGGTAAGCACATGGGGCCGCTTGCGTGCAAACGCACTGAGGGCGTCTCGCTGATGCTCACATGCTGCCGCTACAACTTCCAGACTGGCTCCACCACTTGTCGCTGATGCACGTTTTTCAAGTGTCACCGTATGAAGCTCAGGTAGTTTTTTCAGAGAGCGGACGCCCGGCAGGCCCTGCTTTTTGTTCAGTGTTTTGGGCGGTTTTTTACAGAAACTCCTGATTTTGCAAGCAGCCTAACCCTGCCTTGAACACACGCACCAGGCAACGTCCGCAGCAAGTTGGGAAGCCTTGCAATGTTGAAACTTCAGGTTGGCAAGGGCTGTAGTTTTGCAACCTTGCCAGACTTGCAGCTTGCAATTTTGCACAGTTTTGCAGTGTTGGAGCTTTGGCAGACAGAGTTGCAGTTTTGCAGTCATGCCAAACCTGTTTTGCAACCAAGGCCTGCAGTGTTGGAACTCTGGTAGATTGGCGATTTTGCAACCTTGCCAGGTCTGTGTTGGGAAGCCTGGAGTGTTGAAACTTTGGCAGGTCTGCCGCAGGCCTGCAGTTTGGCAGACTTGCTGGGCAGTGGCTTGCAAAGTCTTGCAGTGTTGGAGCTAGGCCTCAGTGTTGGACCCATTCCAAATTGTATGTAGTGTGGCAGCCTTGCTTGCGCAGTGAGTTGTTGCAGTGTTGAAACTTTGGCAGGTTACCTTGCCAAGCCATTTTTACTGAGTTGGAAAGTGTTGTGCCAAGTTTGAAAAGCTCGCAGTGTTGGCCGACTCAGCCTCGCTTGGGCGCTGAGCTGCGAAGCCTGCAGTGGTGAAACCTTGGCAGGGAAGGGCTGCAGTTTTGCAACTTGCCAGGCCTGTTGGGGCTTGCCAGGTCTGTAGTTTGGCAGCCTTGCTTCGCCAGTGAGTTGCAGTGTTTTGCACAGTCTCGCAGTGTTGGAGCTTTTGGCAGACAGAAAAGTTTCACCACTGCAGGCTTCCCAACTTAGTGCCCAAGCAAGGCTGCCAAAGTATACAGGCCTTTGTTGCAAACCAGACTTGGCAGGTCCAACACTTCAAGGCGCCCAAGTACAGACCTGGCAAGGGTGCAAAATTGCCAATCTGCAAGGGTTCCAACACTGCATCAAGCCACTGCCCAGCAAGTCTGCCAAACTGCAGGCCTGGCAAGGTTGCAAAACTGCAGCCTTTGCCAACCTGCCTTGGTTGCAAAACAGGCTGCAAAGCTGCAAGCGGCAGGTTGGTAAGGGCTGCAGATTTGCAACTTGCCACTTGCTTGGACAGTGAGTTGCAGAGTGAAACACGGGCAGGTTGGCAAGGAATTGTAATGTTGAAGCGTTGGCAGGTTGGCAAGGGCTGTAGTTTTGCAACCTTGCCAGGCATGCAGTTTGGCAGACTTGCTTGGGCAGTGGCTTGATGCAGTGTTGGAACCGGGAATTTTGGCACCCTTGCCAAGTCTTGCTTGGGCAACAAGTTTTGGGAATTGCAACTAAGGCCTGTTTGGCAGCCTTGCTTGGGCACTGAGTTGGGAAGCCTGCAGTGGTGAAACTTTGGCAGGTGGGAAGGGTTGCAGATTTGCAGTGAGTTGCGGCGTCTTGCGGTATTGAAACTCTTGCAACCTTGCCAGGCGTGCAGTTTGGCAGACTTGCTTGGGCAGCGGGTTGGACCTGCCATCTGTTTTTGCAACTAAGGCCTGCAGTGTTGGAACTCTGGCAGATTTGCAATTTTGCAACCTTGCCAGGTCTTGTAGTTCGGCAGCCTTGCTTGGGCGCTGAGTTGGGAAGCCTGCGCTGGTGAAACTTTGGCAGGTTGGCGAGGGGGGGGGAGCAAAAAAAGAAAAGAAACAAAACAGGAGGTCTCTTTCTTTTTCGTTGTTTTTTCTCTCCCCCCCCCTTTCCAGATCAGAGCCAGGCAATAGTACGACCTCTTTCAACCGTCGTGCACGCAGAAGCAAGATCAGATGAACGAGTTCCTTCGAACGCAGACGCAACATCAGATGAAAGACTTCGAATGCAGCATGCTTTACTTCAGACAAGCAAGAATGACATCGTATCACGGCTTTCCCCCTGTTCCTAACTGTGGAAAAACAGGGCCGGTATAGCGTCGCTTTCTGTTTTTTTATGCCAGAGTTCAAAAAGGGCCCCGATTCTGCCAGCAATGTGCGCAGCAGCTGCAAGTAGGAGGCTGGCAGGCATGCCGCAAGCAGTGTTGAGCACAGCATAGACTGCTATAGAAGAGCTTTCTACTGATCGCGGCAGGCCATGTCCAAGTTGAGAAACTGAGGCTCACCGTGCTGAAGGTAGGTTAGACTGTAGCAATTTTGGCTGAGTGCTTTGAGTCTGATTGTGCAACGCAGGGGATGGATTTTACACCGTTGGACAAGGTTGGCTGCGAGCTTTGTAGTCGTTGGGTCTTCCTGGTCAGTGCGATGACTATCGTGCGTGCCCCATATTGCGGAGAGACTGCGTTGAGAGACTCCTAATCGCTTCTCATGTTAGGCGAGTGGCATCCTCATGAGCGCGCCGCAGATGAGCGATGGCACACCGCGTCATGAACGCTGCAGTGCTTGTGGGAGTGATCTTGTAGAATGCAAAGGCGCGCAGATGGCGTGAAGCGCTGTGCTTGTGCCGCTGACGTGTCCACAGCAAGCCATCATGGGCTGAGACGGAATTCGGATAGTGGAGCAAGTGGGGAAGGGCAAGAAGGGCCAGCAGACAAACCTGAAATGAAGCGAGAAGGTGAGCTGACAGGATATGGGAGATTAGGATCCCATCTCTTAGCATTTAGCCGTAACGTTTCCGGGTTCCACGGGTAGATTCTCAATGTTTCGCAACTGCTATCCACAGGATTAATGTTATGCGCAATGTGGTTAGTACTAGAAGTAATGGTGTTCATGATTGAACCAGACTCGATGATGCAGAAAACTGACTTGGGTCACAGATCCTTGCAGTTAAACGCCTTCCAAGATGTACCGAAGGCCATCTTCCGACTTTCTATGAAGTATTTCGTCGATGGCGTCATCAAAGTGTGACCGCCTCAAAGCACGCGGATGTTTTTTGCGTGTTCACTGGCAGACTTTGCCAGTAAAGCAATCAGTAGCCGTAGCGAAAACAACACCCAAGTAAGGTAGTGGTGCAAATTGTGACGTTAAGTTGTAAATGTAGTGGTATTGGTAACAGTAATCACAAAGGGTAGCAATGATGGACATGTAGCAGCTCCTATGACATCAAGAGTAAACGACGCCGTTTAAAAAAAACCGCTAAGATGATTATGCCACGGGGAAAGCAAGCGCAGCAGCGGTGATTAGCATGCTTGGTGAGTTCGGGCTGCAGCATGTCTTCGCTCCTCCGCAGGCAAAGCATGTGCGAACGTCTTGGCAGCTAGAGCCAGTGCTCGGCTGGCGGATGGTCAATACTGCGGCCCCAAACACATGTTCTGTTAAGGAGGGTGCAGCCGAGTAGCCCCGGGCAGAACCTACATGATTGTGGCGCCGCAGCACCAACTAATTTCAAGCCACTCAATGTCTCAATGTAGGCTCCAGCACGTATGATCGGCAGGGTTTAGAAGGCCTTGCAGAGGCAGGGCGTTGAGCTTGCTGATGCAGCTTGTGAAGCCTTTCGCACCGCCTGTGAAGTATCCACCGGCATTGCAGCGGGCACGGATCTCATTGCCAAATATCCAAGGCTTCAAAAATGATGCACACGGGTTGGCAGGAGATTTCCAAAGGTTTCGCAGTCATTGCACATGCGTTTAGAAATTGCATAAGCCTGGCTTCAGGAAAGGTCTGTGCAAGTTATTCCTGCGCCCGCTGCGCTCCAAGGTTGCATGTTCCGTGAGGCTGGACCCTGGTGTAGCAGTTTTCAAAGTAACTCCCTACTGTCGCAATCGTGTTTGTGAGTGTTATCTTCATGACTGATGTCATTGCGATGATGGTGAAGATTTCTGTGATCTTTTTAACTGCTGTTAACTGTGTTCATTCTCGCTACTATTACTATTGGTCCTACTTTGGTTGGATCAGCGCTCAGAAGCAAAGATAGCGCGTGTTAGTGGTAATGTTAGCAACGAGAGTAATTGTGTTAATAGTCATATTAGTATGTATTATAGTCGTCATCACAGCAATGATAGTAATCATGATAATTGCAACAAGAGTGATAAGTATGACAATAGAGTACCTAATAATAACAGCAATCATAGTGGCGGGAGGGAAAAACATCATAGTAAAAAAGTATTAATAGGAACAAGAATGATAACAGCAAAAAAAGTAATAACATTAATAATAGGAATCATAGTAATCATAGTACCATAGTAATAATAGTAATAATAGTAATCGTAGTAATACGAGTATAGCCGGCGAAGCCGGGAGGCGGAAGTTTCAAAACAGCATACAACTATAGGAACGATTTTGTGTTGTGTTTGTTGGCAAACAGCTCAAACTTCTTTCTTTGCTGTCTCCTTTGCGTCCCTGTTTCTGATCCCTTTGTTTGTTGTTGGCAACCAGCTCACTCCCTGTTTCTGACCCCTGTGCTTCCCTCGAGCTCCTTTTTTTCCAATGCCATCGCTGCGTGGCACGCATGTTGGCGCTGGGCTCGTTGCTGCAAGCGCATGGGTGGCCTTGCTGGCAGAGCACAATGCCCGGGAGCTGCAGCACACAGGCGCTTAGTTATTATTCAGTTACCTACCATTATTACTCGCTATTACGTTCACACACGTGAGCGGCGGCTGCGCCCGCCGGCAAGGCGTGGTGCTCAAGGCTGCGGCGCATTGATGCTTAGCTATTGAGCAGCCCCTGGTTGGGCGAGCTATGGCGTGGCACACTCACGATGATGCCTACGAGCTGCCTGTGACGGCGAGCTCATTATTGATCTATCTATCTATTTATCCAGTTATCCATCTATCTCTCTATCTATCTATCGATCTATCTCTCTATCTATCTATCGATCTATCTGTCTGTCTATCTATCTATCTAGATCTCTATCTATTTCTCTATCTAGCTAGTCTATCTATCTATCTATTTATCTACCTATCCATCTATCTAGCCAACTAATCTAATTATTCATCTACGTATCTATCCATCTAACTATCTATCTACTTATCTATCTATCTACCCGTCTATCTAG